CCCAATCTCAAGGGTTGGAACCCCCGAGATTTGAACTAGGGACCTTTGGTCAGTGAGTTCAATACTCTACCACTAGTCCACGGACTAATTCAAGAGACCTCGGCTGGTAGGAGACGTAACAACTGCGTAGGAAATGCAAAAAAACAATCCCTGGATAGTTGGGGGAAGCAAATACGCCGTTATGTGGGCAATAGAACCTCTATTTTTACAATCCAGTTGATTGTCATTTTTAGAGACAGGAAGAACTCAGAAACGCGCAGGATCACAAACGCGAAAACGATTAAAGCGAAGAGATATAAAAAATGACATTCAGAGCGGAACTAACTTGCTTGAGGCAAACAAGGCCGCCACTCTTCTCGACCATCGGCGTTTGTGTATAGAAGTCTATCAGTTCCTTCAATGTTGAAAACTGGTGACCGCCACCCACATCAAATTTTCCATCAGATTTCTGACGGATAAGGATGTGTGACACCTGTTCGCCAGTAGCCACCGACAAGACGTAGGAGTCGGGTTGATGAACGGATTCCCGAACCAAAAAACTACCATATTTTCCCTTTTCAAGTAAGAGTTTCTGAGCTTCCTTCCCGGTAATCCTGCCATGGAACCATCGAGAGCTTCAAGGTGAAAGAAAGACAGAATTTAAATGGGGACTCGCGTATATGTCTCTGTATTCAAAAGAGCTGAATTACTACAGAATATATTCGCCCTTTTATTTTTTCACAATAAATGCTCAACTGGGAAAGCTTGCAGCAAATTTTAAGAAGAGCTCCGCTGAAATCCACGACTTCTGCAAATAAATCAGTAAAGTTTTAAGAAATTCGAGAGAACAGAGGATAGCAAATTGTTGAACGTTTAGCTAAGGACCAAAAAGCTAATGAATTCGACAAGAAGAAAATCAAGAAAATACACCGGAAATTTCTATTAGGCGCATTGGTTTAGGCGAAAATTTTATATGAATGCATTAGGGAACGAAATCAGTAAAATTGAAAAATGTAAGATGTAGTACGGCCAAGGAAGGATCCGCAAGGCACCTACTTTCAGTGAACATGTTCAAAAGCTGAGAAGAAAATCGGCCACAGTAAATAAAAGTATCTTACAACTCGAGACGTGTGCTAAACAACTTGTGATGCTTACAATGGCGGACGGTAAAATAGGGGCCAAATAGCCTCATGTAAAATAAATCCACGTCTCTAGCATAAATCGTAAGGTCCGCCAAGAACACATTCTCAATCAGAATTTCACAGATTATTAGCACATTCATTTATCGAACTTGACCTTGACCGCGGTTGGTTCAAATTCGAGACAAAGTGGAAGA